GTGGCAGGCAGCGGCTCAATATTCCCTGTCAAGGAAGAAGAAGACCAATGCCGAAGCTGAAGCCAATGCCAAAGCTAAAGCCCAAGCGGAAGCACTGCAGCCAAATTCAAGACCCAAAAAAAAAGGACAGCTCAAAAGCAGTGTCTGCAGCTGTATCTATGTGTGTGTGTGTGGGAATTTGTGTGGTAGCATTAAACTTTTTAATGATTTAACTAACAAAACTTTTGCTCTATTCCATGCGCCCTCCGCCTGCCGCCCCCGCCCGGCTTAACATGCAATTTATTGCACAACTCGATGACGACGACGACGACGACGACGACGACGACGACGACGGCGACGACGGCGGCGACGAAACAACTTTCACTCTGGCTGCACAGTCGGGCGAAATGCGTAGCTCGCCAAAGGAAATTGGCGCATTTAATGAGAATGGACGAAACTTTGTTGCCACAAAGGATACATCAAGGGATTTCAGCAATTCCCAAGATAATACCGACCGTGGCAGCATGAGCGATCAGGCGTTTGCATGTTCCGCCAGCTCCGTTGAAAGTTTGCCCAGTGCATCCGGTTCGAGTGAGTACAAAACTCTATCTATGTGTTTAGATATCTACATGTGTGTGTGTGTGTGTGCGTGTGTGTGCTTACAATTTAGATTTTTGATTTTGCCTTTGCATTTGGTTTTCCTTTTGCTGTGGCCTTTCGAACTGGGGTGGAAGCGTTTGCCTTGCCCCGGCTTGTTTATAAAAATTCCCAGACTGCCGCCCAGCGCCACGCCCAGCTGGGCTCGTGTTGCATATTGGTCTATTAACAGTTGTAGTTGTTGCTGCGGTTGTTTTGCAACCGCTGCACAATAACTTGAAATTCTGCAAACTTAATGAATTTTTAATGCACTTGCGCACAGTCAAGTGGCAAGTGGCGAGTGGCAAGTGGCGAGTGGCAATGTGGCAAGTGCATTGGCCAGGCCATGCAGCCCGATGCAATGTCTAGGGCGTGGTTAAATAAAGGGCTGCTGCTGCCTCTGCTGCTGTTGCTCAGTTTTTAATGAACAAAAGTTTTCGCTATATGCGCAAATTTCTACTCTAAATAAAGAAGAAGAAGAAAAAAACAAAACCAAAACAACACAAAATGCCAGAGCAGCTGTACCAGGAGCAGAGCAGCAGCAGCAGCAGCAGGAGGCGGCGGCCGGCGGGGTTTGCAGGAGCAACTTTGAAAAGTGCAAGAAAAAATACTTTATTTTCATGTGGCCAGGACACAAAGCAAGGATTAGCCAAAGCTTTGGCCAAAAACTTCAAGTGCTTATTTGAATATTTTTTGGGCGAAACGAGCTTTGTGTCTGAGACCCTCTCTCTATCTCCCTCTCACTCACACACACAGAGAAAGTGTGTAAAAATATTTGAAAAGTTTTTAATTAACCAAACGAACTGTTTGTGTGCGTGTGTGTGTGTGTCTGTGTGTGTGTGTTTGTATATCGTGCTCTGCCAAATTCTTCAGCCCTTGGCTAATTGGCTGTGGGCGCATTAATTGGGAAATTTTCTGGGCAAACTTCCATCGAAATGTTGTCGAGACAAATATTTAAACGTAAGACCATTCTATTTTGGCAGGCACTCAAGCTCTAGTGCGTCCCGGCAGCCCACACAGCTCCATTTCAGCCGAGGATCGCGCCTCCCTGGCGCCCATTTGCAAGGCCAAGGCACTTGTCGACAGTCTGCCCAATCCCTACGACAAGGAGGCACTCAAATTCAAGGTAAGCAGACGCCCCACTCTCTCTCTCTCCCTCTCTCTTATATATATAACATGCTGGTTGCTTTTGCAGAAGGGCGACCTGATCGATGTGCTGTCCATGAATGCCTCGGGCATTTGGAAGGGCCGCTGCCATGGCCGCGTGGGCCACTTCAAGTTCATCAACGTGGAGGTGCTGCCCGAGCAGCGCATGAAGAACTCGAGCAGCAAGACCCTGGCGCCCGCCTCTCGACTGGCCAACAGCAACAACGGCAGCGGCAACGCGGGGCCCAGCTCCGTGGACGATCTGCTGATACGCATCGGGCTCAAGGAGTACACCTCCGTCTTTGTGCTCAACGGGTAAGTGGTGTAGATGAAACAAATTTCACAACAATTTTTTGTTGGATTGTTTCACCTATCGTTCCATTTGCAGCTACGAGGATCTGGAGCTGTTCAAGGAACTCGAGCCGGCTGATCTGGACTATCTGGGCATACTCAACCAGGAGCATCGCGCCAAGCTGCTGACGGCCGTGCAGCTGTTGCACGACATTGAATGTGAGTATTAGTGTCCTGCTCTTGCCTCGCCCCGTGCCTAAAGCAAATCATGTGAATCACAATGCGACCCACGCCCACAACCACACCCACGCCCACTCTCTCACACACACACGTACTCACACACAGCTACAAATTTCGCACGCACAGGCTCCGACATGGACATAGCCGGCTCCAGCTCGGAGAACGACGAGGCGCGCCTGAACAACATCAACAAGAAGCACGGCGCCTCGCCCTTTGGCCGACGACACTTTCCACGGGACTCCGGCTGCTACGAGGGCTCGCCACTGCCCAGCTCCCAGACGCCCACGCAGACGGTGAACTCGACGGACGACTCGAACAGCCTCGACGATGTGGTCTCCAAGTGCTCCAGCGAGATAATGAAGCGCGTGGAGAGCGCACGGCGCTGCAAGGAGAACCCGTTCAAGGCGACGCTGCCGGCGCGAGTCGGCAAGAAGTCCTTTCTTGGCGGCGGCAGTCTTATGGGCGACGATACGCTCACGCGTGGCGGCCTCAGCGAGAAGTCGAGCGACTCGGGCGTCAGCAGCAGTTCGCTATCGTCGGGTCCGCTGAAGAGCAGCACTTAACATTTGCCAACCATACTCGCCCACGAGCTGCTGCTGGGCGTGGGCCAGGCGGGCGGCGGCAGCAGCGTGGGCGCCACCTCGCCCACCACCTCGGTCGCCTCGGCTGGCATGCTGGGCTGTCCCAGCAGTGGCAGTGGCAATGCCAGCCTGAATGCCACGGCGCCGCTTGGCAACATCTGCAACACTCTGCCGCATGCCCCGTCCGGTGGCAGCAGCACGATGGGCCTCTCCAGCAATCTGCCGCTGAACCGCAATCTGGTGATGTTGCGCAATCATTTGCGCAAAAATACGGGTGGAAATGCCGCATCAGCCGCACTGCAGGACGACAAGGATCAATAACAACCCATTTATTACATACAGATTTTAGTTTAGATTCTCGATACTTCAGTTAGATATATGTATGTATTTCAATTGCTGTGATTCGATAGTGAAAAAAGGCCAAGACGCGTCTTTCAGTTCAAATGTATAGTGTATAGAGACAGATAGATAGCAACAGAGCGAGAGAGCAGGAGAGAGAGAGATAGTGAGATAGAGAGAGAGCGAGAGAGTGAGCACATTAAGCAAAGTCAGTTAGTCAGTCAATCCTTCCTCCGATAATGTTGGCATTTATATATACTCTTATATATATATATTTACATATATATATGTAAAAAGACAGAGCTATATACTTAGTAATTGTAATGTAATCAAATCGTTTAACTATTTTTAGTTAGCCTGATGTAAAAAACAAAGACAAGAAGAAAAGATTAACGAAACATTTTCTCATTTGCCATTTTTTGCCAATTGCTTTCTATGTATATTTCGCAACGTGATATTGTCAAACGTCCAACTTGAATTGCAGTTTTTAATCAATGAAACCACATTTTAATTAACACGAGGGAACGGGCCGAAGATATCTATCTATAAATAACTCAAGTTGATTCCTATATTATGGCACAAAGGCTGCCGGCAATAGACCAATTACATTTTAAAACCCAAATATTTACACGAAGCAAACGAATTTGCCAATATTTATAATTCTATAAAGAGAAACTCAATTGAATTTTAAGTATGAAAATCACACACACACACACACTCACATCATGATGTATCCGTCAAAGTTGTATATTTGGAAAAATCAGCTAAGGGAAAATTGTATGCTAAGCAATATAAATTGGTAAAACGTAGACTCCGGACAAGCGAGCTGTATATAGTAAGGGTATTCTTGTCACTGGGGTGTTCATGAATGCCATTTAACAGTTAAATGCAAATATGTAATAATAATAAGATACACACTTATATACATATTTATATATATAAACTATTAGCAATTGCCAGCTATTTAGCGATAATCAAAAGGAAAAGGACAATGAAACGAATTGGATGGCAGATTTTATTGATTTCACATTAAACAATTAGTTAAATAAATCAATACAAATATTTCAAAGCGAGCACAAAAAGAGAATATATATATATACATACATATATATTTAAACTATATCATAGCGCATATAAATATCGAATACCAATCGACTTTATGTACATTTGACACAGAAACGACAAACCAATTCCGAAATGCTTTTAATCATAATTAAGCAAAATTATAGATATATACATATATAAATATTCATAAAATTAACAACTAAAATTAAATAATCCCAAAAACTTAAATAAAATTTTATAATTAGTCCAAACAAAAAGAAAAAATAAAAAGATTATTAATTGCGCACGTGTTAAAGCCAGAGAGTAAAAATATTCTTATGTAGGCATTTTGAATTTTTATTTATCTAAAAACATAAATTTAAGTGTTTCAACTGTAAATTATATTAGAGAGAAAGCAAAACAAATGCAGAATGCACAAAAGCCACATGCAGCATGTGCGAAAAGTTTCCATTTATCACTGTAAAATTATGTAATTAAATTCGAATATGTAAGCAATATTAAAGTTTAAAGTAACAAAAAAAAAAAAAAAAAAGAGAGCAAAAAAAGAAAACTCAAGGCATCACAACGCAGTTTCAGGCAAGCTAACAAGTAAATAAATAATTAAAAATAAAAAATGAAAAGAAACAAACTAAAAACAATCTTAGAATTCATTAGCACCCACAAAAGAACTTTAACTCTCCAGAGCTCCCTACATTTTAGAANTGTAGGCATTTTGAATTTTTATTTATCTAAAAACATAAATTTAAGTGTTTCAACTGTAAATTATATTAGAGAGAAAGCAAAACAAATGCAGAATGCACAAAAGCCACATGCAGCATGTGCGAAAAGTTTCCATTTATCACTGTAAAATTATGTAATTAAATTCGAATATGTAAGCAATATAAAAGTTTAAAAAAAAAAAAAAAAAAAAAAAAAAGTGAGCAAAAAAAGAAAACTCAAGGCATCACAACGCAGTTTCAGGCAAGCTAACAAGTAAATAAATAATTAAAAATAAAAAATGAAAAGAAACAAACTAAAAACAATCTTAGAATTCATTAGCACCCACAAAAGAACTTTAACTCTCCAGAGCTCCCTACATTTTAGAAGAAATTTCAAGCAAAACTCAAGTAAAGAACGCAAAAAAAAAAACTCAAATAAAATGAAACGAAAAGAGAGCGAGCAGCACGCAGCTAGCTGAGCGATGAAAGTTTATGCATAACTCAAATAAAAGTCTTAAATAAAATTGAACATATCTAAAAAGTAACTAAACGTCTTATCTATTTAACTGGATCGAACCGAGCAAACAGGTAAGAGAAATGCCTTCTACGAGAGTCAAGGCTGAGCAGGCATCTGCTTGATTGAGACTGATTAGCTATTTATCTAAATATAGCCCAATCTATATTATATAGACTACTTAAGCACGGCTATCAAGCAGGCCACTTTATTGAACTATTCATGTTGTGCCCTACAAGAATTACACATATCATATAATGAATTATTTAATATGGCTTTTTTTTAGTAACTATTGTCTTTTATTCCACATACATTGGTTAGTTTCGCTTGAGCTCAAGCTTTATCGTTAATAGGCAAATTGGTGCTAAGTATTTATTTGAATGGATTGAGCTGCTGCCTTGATCAAAAGAAACCGCCTAAATGACTTTATTCGCCACTCAGAGAGCGCTCACACATTTACCTACAAGTGTTGGGTTTCAATGACATTGAGTGAGCGCTTCAGTTCGCATTAACGATGATTACGCTGCTTCAGCTACACGTGAGCAAAATCTAAATTAATGTACATGCACACATACATACATACACATGTATATATTATCATATTTATATATATGTATGCATATGCATATATATGATCGGGTAATCTTATCATTTAAGGTGTCGCGCCTACCCGAAATGAGTATGTAAACAATTCATAAAGCTCTAGTAACCGGCCAGGCAGCTGATCCGCTCGCTGTGGAGGGAGGGAGGTAGGGAGGTAGACGGCAGAGGTTGGGTGGTTGAACGGTTGAGCGGTTGCATGGCTGTTGGCGTTACGGCCCCTGTTGTCGATGAGGCGAAGCGGCGTCAGTCGTAATCTGCGCTGATGCTGATTAAATTTACTATACTTGTGGAATGGATCTATCTCTAACCTACACACACACGCACGCACATACAGTTGCACATGCATAATGCATTCTGATGTTTATTCATAGAGCACTTGTAACCGATCTGAGAACGCGAACTAACGAACTTTATGCTGGAATTTGGCATATACATATGTATTTACACGATTTTTTGCGTTTGTTTTTTATCATTTATTTCTGTCCACATAGTTTTTGATGCCGCCTGCTCGGGCGGGAAGTAAAATTGCGCTTAAGTGGTTTAGTAGATTGTTAAATTGCTTTTGTCTTTCTGCCAGCGGATAAGTAAATGAAAATATGAAAATTGATATTATTGCATTGCACAAACTATGTAGACTTTATCTCATTTTCTGCCGCATTTTGCGCTCAGTCTCAGTTTCAGTTCCAGTGACAGTGCGTTCCGAGCTGGAGCCATCGCAGAATCAAAGCGCATAAATAATAAATTCTATAATCCAATAAAGAAATACCAGAGATAGCCAGACTATATACATATATATATAGATATAAATGAGTAAATACTTACTTACTTTTATTTAAAGTAAAAGTGGAGTGGAAATTTTCTAAATACTTTTACCCAGCGAATTGACAACAAGATTTAAGACAATTGTTTAGCAATGTCAAATGAACTGGCTTAAATGGCGGCTTATCCGGTTAACAGCATCGCTTCAGGCACACGCAACTGCAGGCTATCTAATCGGGCCCGAGCTCTAGATTTTCTATGCAGTTGCTTGCAGAACTTGACATCTGAGTGTTGTATTACTCACCGATAAAACCCCTTTGCTTATAACTTTAAAAGCAACCCTAACCCTGAATAATGCTCATAATTCTCATAAAAGATATGAATAAACAAAAATAAATAAAGATGAATTTACTTATGACTTGACTAGATAATACCATGAGCAACTATTAAAACACCCACAAACATAAACAAGAAAGTGACTAATATAATTTTTATACCCTGAACCCATTGAAAATGGGAAATCAGGGTATAATGGTTTTGTGAAAAGTATGTAACAGGCAGAAGGAATCATCRCAGACCCCATAAAGTATATATATTCTTGATCAGGACGACGAGCTGAGTCGATATAGCCCTGTCCGTCTGTCCGTCCGTCCGTCCGTCCGTCCGTCCGTCCGTCCGTCCGTCCGTCCGTCCGTATGAGCAAAAGGATCTCAGAAGATATAAGAGCTAGAGAGCTGAAATTTGGCAAGCATACTCGTGTATACCATAGGCAGTACAAGTTTGCTTTATTTTTTCGATAACTCATCCGATAACTTTTTTATCGAGAATAATCGAAAAATCGACAATGTTTTTTCAGCTTATTTTGAACACTTTTAGACCTGGAGACTTCAAATTTGCGTTGTATATAAAGTTAATGGATACAAAGATTTTGTAATTTACAGATTTTGGATACCACGCCCCCTTCGCCCCCAATTTGTAAAAAACGCATTTCAAGTACTAGAGACTTGTGCTTTGAAATGTACACACATTTAAGCCATATGATTACGCTCTAAAAGTTTCATTAAGATCGTATGTCTACAAAAGAAATTATTCAACAAATAAATTCTCGTTATATTGCCCACACTGCAGTGCAGCCCAAGCGCAGCCGCTGCTAGCTGCGCAGTTTGCAAAGCGCGTGCTTATACGTGCATGTGTATGTATGTGTGCATAAAAGAAGTCCAGAATGATTAGAATATCAGTTTGGAGGGTTCAGGGTATCTCCTAGTCGAGCAGTCTCGACTGGAGCCTTCTTACTTGTTTTTTTTTTTTTTTCATACATTTTTCGTTTTTTATAAAATAGATATTTTATTGGGAAGGTGCGAGCTTGACTGAATGGCACTTAATACTTTTCATTTTCTTAGTCGAATAATTTTATAAGTTTAAATTTGTTTCTTCTTAAATAGCCCTCAAATACATATATGCAAATACATACATATGTATATATGTAAGTCTGCACGCATAGCATCAAGCATTCCAGCCTTATACACGCGCTCATTTGTATGTGTGTATGTATGCACACATAAATGCGTACTCTAGCATATTCTAAGAATCTCGTTGCGATTGATTTGTCTTTGCATTGTTTTTGAATTTCCAGCCACCACTCTGGCTTTTCTTTGCTATGTGGCGTCATAACAATAATGTGATTTCGTTTTAACTTCTATTGATCGAAACGACGCGGTGGTGCTGTAGGCTGAAGCGCCGACGACCATTATTTTAGCTATTTTGACAAACATGCTGTTTGGGTTGGGTGCGAGTTCAAATCCCGCGGAAAACACTTTTTTGTAAATTGCAAATTTTTGTTATTTTAGCTTCTTTTAAATTTTTTTAAATTCATAAAAATGTTTCCTTTTGTATTATGAATATCTATTAAGCTTATTTATATGTACAAATGCATAAATAGATGGCTGACGCATATAAATGTCGCGATACGGGCACTGTAAATGCCGATTGCCACGCCCCTAGTGGCCGTCGACTCCTCAATTTTAGCCAGTTCTTAGAACGAGTAACCGGTTACCTAAATGCAAAATTTGAATTCTTACGCTCAAAAAATGTGAAAATTACAGGGTATTTTTCGATATGCCACGCCCCTAAAGAGGCTTAAAAATTATTTTTGGGGCATCGATAGAGGAGGCTACCAGTAACTTAACTATCCAAATTTGAAGCTTCTAGCTCTTNTATTAATTTAAAATGATAAAGAAATTATGAAAGAGTGTTTAATTTTAGATAAATTTCTCAAATGAAATTCAACAACAAATTGTGAAATTCTTTGCGATAAAATATTCACGAATTTCTTTTTTGCATTATTTTAAACTAGTTTGCCATAAAAAAATAGTTGTACCATTTATGGCAGCTAGTTTATAGCTCAATTATACTGTGCTGACAATCAGCGAACTAAAAAAGTTCCTATAAAACATTCACAATCCACAATTGCTGCGCAGTTATTGCCTCCAAATTAGATTGGATGAAATGTCCGTAAACATATGCAAACGCTTCTGAGCATCGACACATGCTTGGGCATGAAAAGCTGAGAAGTAGAGTTTATTTACACATAGTTTATTTACACTCATAAAGATAAGAGCGAAACTAATCCGCAAATGATTTACTTGAATACCCAGAATAGTCAGCCAGCACACAAATAGAAACAGACAATGAAAGATAAACTGGAGGAGGTGATAGCCAACAGTAGAAAGCTATCTACGGCAGCCAACAGTGTCAGTGAAATGGATCTGGATGAGTCCGAGCTGAACGATCCGTTCCAGGCGCTCATGGAGAAGGCGGGCAACCACGGCCGCTACCAGACACTCTACAACTATGTGTTCGTCGCCGGGCTGGCGTTCGCCGGCGCCATGGTCTACATGAACATCATCCTGGCGCTGAACATACCGGATCACTGGTGCACGGTGCCGGGCAGGGAGCACACCAATCTCACAATGAATCAGTGGCTCGATTTGACGCTGCCCAAGTGAGTTGGCTGCCAAATGCGGTGCACTGGCTCAAATCCCCTGCTAAGCTATTCCATTTCGCCCGCAGGCAGACTGACAATCGGGGCAAGGAGACGCACAGCAACTGCGAAATGTACGATGCAAACTTTACAGAGTTAACTGATTTTTCGGCCTGGCGCAGCAGCCGCAGCAAGAATCAGACGACAGGTGAGCTAAACACACACACACACACACACACACACCCACGCACACATAGCCATTAATACTGCTGTATATATTGCCTGGCTTTGCTTGGCCATTTGAGCGCATGGAAAAACTTGGCCAGCAGTAGCTTGGCTGTCTTATAAATTTATACAACTTTGCACTCGAATACATTTAATTGGACGGCCTCTTCGATTTGCCAGCTTGCCAGCACGGTTGGACCTACGACCAGACCTGGTATGACAGCACAATACCCACGGACCAGGACTGGGTCTGCGCCAAGGATTTGTTCGTGACAAATGTGTTCGTTGTCGGCCGCGTGACCGAGGTGGTCGGCTCATTTATATTTGGCCAAATGGGCGATTCGTAAGTTGGCCGAAACTAAATTATGTGCCTGCCCGCAATTGGCAATTGGCAATTGGCAATTGGTAATTGAATTTCGGCTTCTCCTATTGGTCGCAGCTTCGGACGCAGCGTGGTCTACTACATTAGCGTCATCTTCTGCTCGGTGGGGCGCCTGGGGTCTGTGCTGTGCACGTCCTCCTACACGTGGTTCCTCATCATGTCCGGCATTGTGGGCCTCACCGTAAACAGTCTCTTCCAATCGCCGCAAATCATTGGCATGGAAATCTCCCGAGAGTAAGTTTGACAGATATTGAATAAGGCAGAATAAGGCAAGGAAAAGTTTGCCGAAACTAACTAGAACTTTGTCAATGTCGCACTGGCCAGGGAGGATCGCAGTCGCATCGCCCTCTTCCAGAGCGTGGGCTGGTCCGTGGGCACGACGCTGATGCCGCTTCTCTTCTGGTGGCTGCGCCACTGGGAATCCTTTATGTGGCTGACTTCGCTGCCCACGGCGATGGTCTTGCTGTTCTCCAAGTAAGTCACGCAGTCAATTCAATTGAATGCTCCCAACTATTGTCCAAATCCCAGTTCATTCCTAGTATTTGTTTTGTCATTGGCTCTGACATTTTTTTGGGGGGGATTCCCTTTCCTTTATTTCTTTTTCAGATATGTCATCGAATCGCCGCGCTGGTTGATTAGCAAGCGACGCTTTCGCGAGGCCATTGTCCAGTTCAAGAAGATTGCCAGAATTAATGGACGCACATTCGATGTGACCGAGAAGGAGCTGACCGAAATCTATAGCCAGGACAAGCACGAGGTCACCTATGGCATGGCCTCGCTCTTCGCCGGCTGGCGGCTGGCCCGCAACACCACAATCATGGGCTTTAGCTGGTGCGTATCAAAAAACCAATTTGCATTCCTAACTGCGGTCCGCTTTGGTCGAGCTCGCCCCTACCCACCTGTCCATTTGCCGTTTTGTCCTCCGCCAGGTGCGTTGTTGCCGTTTCCTACTTCACGCTGGTGCTCTTCAGCTCGCGCATGGCCGGCAATCCGTTTTTGAACTTTTTGTACCAGAGCATTGTGGAAATACCCGCGTACATGGTGGGCAAGTACATGGGTGAGTGTGTGTGTGCTGTGCGTGCTCCAATGCGGCCACTGATTGCCAATCATTCTTATGCTGTTCGGCTCTTTGGCATTGGCTTTTCCATCCGACAGGCGACAAGTACGGCCGGCGCTTTACCAATTCGGTGTCCTTCCTCACCTCGTTCCTCACCTGCCTGCCCATCATCGCCTATGCGACGGACGAGCGATTCGAGTGGCTGATGATCTACCTGTCCACCTTCATCAAGTTCCTCAACGCGCTCACCTTCTTCACGGCCAACCTGCAGTGCCTGGAGATCTACCCCACGTGCATGCGCCAGACGGGCATCGCACTGGGCACCATTTTGGCGAATGCGATCGGAGTGCTGGCTCCGTACCTGGTGTACCTGGGGACGACGGTGAATATACGCGCGCCGTACTACATTCTGGGCACCCTGTTTCTGCTGGGCGGAATCGGTGCGCTGTTCCTGCCCGAGACGCTGCACAAGAAGCTACCAGACACCATCGAGGAGGCAAAGAACTTTGGCAGACACGATGTAAGTAGAAGCCATCAGCCATGAGCCATGCGCCATGCGCCATCAGGCATCAGGCATCAACCATCGACGGCATCTAATTTATAATTTAAATTATGCAAAGCAGCCGTAGCCTAATTTCATTTTTCATAAATTTAATTTACAGAAATTCTTCAGTCTGCCAAAAGCGCCGCCGGTGCTGAGCAAGACGCCAGATGCCGAGCCGGAGCTAACCAAGCTGAATCAGCCTTCATTTGCGCCATGAATCAGTAGCTACAGCTCAAGCGGAATCTGAAGTCGAGCCAGGAGCTGACGCAGAAAGGCAATTGATTTGCTGTGGCCCGTTGTGATGTTACATTAAGTACGCCCCAAGTATTACGAATAAAGTGTTGTTATACTTAACTCTGTGCATTTACATGTGACTGTGTATGTGCCTGTATGTGTGTGTGTTGGTAACTGTAATAAGCCCTATATAAATCACAGGAGAGCCGCCGTCCTGAATGAATGAAATCTCTGCAATGAGTTTATCAGCGCATCTGTCAGATATTTACAAATTACCTGCGATACCATTGCCGTTGCCCTTGGCGTAAAGGCGCTGGTGTGGGTGTGTCTGTGTGTCTGTGTGTGTGTGCTGCTTATGCTGATGCTACTGTGGCTAATTTAATAAATGGCTCGGCATACACACGCGTCGTATGCGTAATGCGCTCCACTCGCCTGATTTATGCCTGTTATGTATCAATTTTTATCACCGGTTGCAACAACGAGCGCCCACCCACGCCCACTCCCAGCGGCGCCAGGAGTTGGCAAAGTGTTAAACTGTAAGAAGACACTAACACCACCAGCAACAATAAAAGTAACACCAATGAAAAGTAATGCAAGAAGTTTAATAAACTGCGAGTCTAGATACTCTATGAGCAGCTGAAACATATGCCTCGCATGCAACTTGAGAGCTTGACTGTGTTTTTGACCAGGGAGAAATCAAGCAAAGTGTAAGTTGAAGATGATGCATATTTTACTTATATCTTGTTATATTATAGGTCATTTCATATCAACTCATTGAGACTCTGTAATCCCTAGCTACTGCATGTTGCAAATGCTATGTCAAAGCTGGAATACCCCACAAAAATCGGACAAGTTTCAGCGGCAACAAAACTTGTTTGCCAACAGGCAAAAGGCAGGCAGGAGGCAGGCAGGAGGCAGTCAGGCAGGCAGGCAACGACGTGCAAGTTTTATGCGGCAAGGTGTTTCGTTTTTCAAGTTATTTATTATGATTTATTTGCCAATGTGGCAGCGTCTCAGAGCTGAGTGGTGAGCGAACTATGGGCCAGGGCGGAGCAAGACTGCTCCAAAGGCTTTTCTTGCTGCTGGCCTGCAGCAGCGATAAGTAAATTGTTTATCCTACTTGTGAGTAATGTGCTGCGACGCTACGGCCAGCCGGGGCAGCCATTCAGCTTGATGATCAGCTTGATGCCCCGTACAGTAATGGCCCCGCCAGCAGCAGCAACAGCAACAGCAGCAACAGAAGCAGCAGCTAACATTGTTATGCTTTCATAAACAGCTGAGCGCAATTTTCTGATAAGCCTTGCTACTGGCTGCACTTCCACTTCCACTCAATGTGTGTGTGTGTGTGTGCGCGCGTGTATGGTAGGGTGTGTGGGCTAGTGTTGCTGGCTATTTGTTTCAATTTATCATAAAAGGCAACGCCGGAAGTCAGCCAAGATGCAGTTGAATGAACGACAAGCGAGAGAATATCTTCAGCCAGCTTTGGCTTAAGACGACAGCCAAAGTCCTTGGCACTGGCTCTATAGATTTACAAGAGATTTGAGATATTTCAAGCATCAATGACACTTTAAGCAACAGCGCAACAAAACTGCAGTCATTATTCACAATTATCACGAATATTTGTTGGCAGACCACAGTCAATATATATGCGACTTTCATTATTAGTTTCGACAATCGATTAATCTAATTTAAGCTTAATTATATTCTTAGAAAGTCATAATCATGAAGATGTTTACACTCCTTAAACAAACAAGTCTAATTTAAATATTTCTGTACATCAAATGCAAACAGCAAACTTTATTCTAATGAAAATTCGCAAATCTTAAACTCATCAGCACAAAAGTATGCAATGAAATTCTAGGCTTTCAATATTTCATGCAGCACAAAAGTATGCAATGCTTTTTATACGCGCTTAGAGCTTTTGAGTTTATTTATGCTAGATTAAAACTCTTGGGTTTTGGCAAAAATATTAGATAAGTTTAGTTTAGGGATACTTGTAAATATATATTTGTAAGTCCTCCTGAATACATCAGAAGGTTAGGTTCTATATAAATAATCTAATTGTGTTGTTAAGGTACTAAACTTGCATTGTACAGATTCAGCGCTTAAAATATATATACAAAAA